TGTTTAATACCAGCCGACGAGTTACTGGAGCTCGCTGATGCTGCTTGGAATGCCGATGCCAGCGTCTTGGTAGTCTCAAGCTTTGCTTTTTCCGTTTCTGTTGCAGAATATTTTGCCTCAGTCTTGGTAATGCCGACATCGATAAAGTCCATATCCAGCCGACATTATAGTTCCTGTTAACGTCCAGTGCAGGGGCAACCATCTGTATATCTGGGTTATTTGTCACTGCAGATATTGTCCACTGCTAACTACATTTAAACAAGATGCGGCAGATATGCTTTCGATATCTGTAAGCAGACCTTCAGAGATTTGCCTAAGGGCAAGCAAGTGTTAAAATGGTAGCCAAGCCATGGATCATTTTGCCTTCGAATTTCCGCTTTGAATCCAATCCTGACTCATACGCACGCATAGTTTTGAAGATATCCTCGTGACTTTCCCATCTAATTTTAAATCTGTAACCAACTACACAACTGAATGAAGAAGAAGAGAGGACAAGAATAATTCGTCGTTTTCGATTTCTTTATCTTTCGTTATCGACCGTCTATGAAAATTGATGCCTGAACCTGTGATGGATGTTAGCTAATTTGGATTTAGCAGTCATCGCGGAGAACATATGCAAAGTTATTAAATGTAGTTGTTCGGCATCATCCATATTTTATATAGTTGAAACGTGAGTTTTAGTGGTTTGGTGCGTCAATCGGTTAGGTTCTGATTACCGGTCGAAAAGCTGCCAGAATCCAAAGCGTGGGCACTAGAATTTAACACTTACCATTCTGTGATAAGCGGTGGAATGTCACTTGCAGTTCGCGGAAAGGAATCAGGAAGTTGTACTTATATTTAATGCGTGATTGCTAGACCTGAATACCATGGAGTTCTAAAAGAGTTTTTCCTTCAGTTTTGTTCGATAGATATTTTTAGTAGAAAATAAAAGGCACATCCTGTTACAGAATTTGAACCTGACACTTATTGATACATAACCGAATAAAGTATTACTTCTTAATTGCTTCCCACTTTCATACGCGGAGTTGGGCTAAAATGGTTATGCAGCATATGCTTTAAATTCTGTTCCTTAACGAAACTTTTCAGATCGTTCAAGAAAAGCGACGGTTTCACAATCTTCCTTTGAACCTTGCTGTTGAGAAAACGGCTCTACTAAAACAGAAGGTAATGATTTATTGATTATGAAAATAGTTTTGAACATTTCTTCATTGATTTTAATTTAAATATGTAGTATGTGTTATGTTGTTTTCAGCATAAGTTTGTGATTTCTAATGTGATTCAGGTCTTTTCATCCGTTGACCTGCTATGTGAGCTATATTTAATTCTCCTAAAGTTGCTGCATTTATTCAGATCACTGAATCAGACAAGCGGATGTCAAGAGTGCCACTGATTTGAGCGAAAACGTCAGGCATCATTTATCCGTGTAATGTATCCTTCACCCTGATATCTCAGATGATTACTACAACAACAACATGATTTGAGTGATTTCTCAGGTCTTGTCGATTCAGTGTCTAAAGAATAGTTTCATTAGTATGACGCATTGTTTTTCGATGGTTAGAATCAGCAACAAAATTAGCACATTTTATCCATGATTTAATTTTGTAGCTCAGTTTTGGACAGCATTGAAAGCACGCATGTTTAAAATTGCAGTAAGGTTAGTATGACTTTTAG